AAAAACGGTGCGTATACTCAATCTGAAATTTTATTATGTGTAAAGGGTCACCCTATAGATGAAAAAATACCTCACACCGACCCCAATTTCGAGGGCCCGAAAACGGGCGAATTTTAGCCCTTTTTGTGCAAGGCTCTTTCATGAGGTATTTGTTTTATCGTGCAGGTTCCAGAAATATGAAACACTGAACATCCAATATGGTTTCGTTAAAGCTCGGTTTCAATAGATATCGCTGCGCCGAGACTTCTAGAGTTAGTAATGCATTAAGCAACAAGTACCCTTCACTCATCTGAATGCAATTATTATGTGCATTTTGTGCATGCATGGCGAAGTGGTTTTCACTTCGATATGAAGTTCCTCATTTAACGCCGTATTCATATAGTTATTCCTCAAACAGATCCAATTCTTAGTGAGGTCTCATACGGTTTGCATTTCAATCAAGAGAGGTTTCAGAATGTAACGCATAAATAAAGACCATTTTTACGAAACTCGAGTGAAATTGAATAATTTAACACTGGAACTAGATACTAACGTAGGAATTACAATGAAAAATATACACAAAAGCATACATATGATCCATTGGATTTTGTAATTTTTGAAGTCAAAAATCGTTGTAATTGCTTGTGAGGATTTATTTTTAGAGCTGTTTCGTTGATTTTTCTTGGTTTGAGAGGCCAAATGGTTCGTAAAAATTGACCTTTTTATGGAGCTACTATACAGACCGTCTCCTTAAACTATCTTTATCGTAATGTAAGCCGCATGGAGCTCTTTCCTCCCCTGGGAAAGGGGTTATTAGAGGAACGACTAAAAATACGATCCTCAGGTTAGAAGATACAAGTGGTGAGAAACTAAGGGCGTGGGTGTCCAAAATGAGTTGAGGAAATTCCGAGCGAAAGCTCACAATCTAGCGCGTGTCAGGATGGTATGAAAGGAGAGTTTGAAATCACAAATCTCCACCCTCAGGTGACAATTATAACTCTTTGCTCGCAGCAATGATTGATCAACACATGTCATCCATAATTCAGTTTCCAATCTCAGTCCAGAGGGGGCAAGGTTTAAAGGGTAAACCAGGATGTATCAACAGATGTTCTTGTTATTACACGGACCGACCCCTGTATGTTGCCACATTTATTTACTCCACGAAGAATAATCTAACTCTCCTCTTGAAAGCTTAACCTACAGCGGACATCTTAGGAAGATGTTTCATGTCCTCTGAGTGTTATTCCATGGGCTGGGGTGTTCTAAAAAAAATTTAGCCCACGAATTATACAAATTACATGAAATTTCAGTGGATTACGATGATGTTGAGTGTATTGCCTGATGCAGATTAAGTTCTTGATGGTATGTCAACACATAAAATGTATAGTAGTTTTTATAGTATTGATCGACTCTCTTTTAGTGGAGACATACACTCGCTTGTTTAAGAACATTCTCCTTAATCAGTTAATTCTCAAGAGCGTTTTGTGAATAATTTTCAAAAGCTGTATACACTCAAAATTATATTTATTAAAAAGTAAAATGGGATAAAATAAATACATCATTCATTTTTCCATTTTTTTTTTTTTTTTTTTTTTTTTTTTTTTTTTTTTTTTTTTTTTTTTTTTTTTACCGAAAATTTATAATGGACAATCTAAAAAAATACGTCTTTTAGAATTGAGTTTTAATTGTTGAATCCTGTGGAACGGCAATAAGTAATTAAACCTATCCTTGCTGTAGATGTCCAGATCTAGAGAGACTATTAAATTATTGATTTAAATAAGACCTCATAGAAACATACTGAAGTATAATTCACCGATAGAGGCGCTTAGGAAAATATGATCATAGATTACTCTGACAAAAATGCCTGGTTCAATTTCTGAAAACAATCCAATATTGATTTTCACGCAGCGTAAAAGATTATATGCTAGGATATTGCCAGAAATAGTATGCGGCCAATATCTGCCTACCTTTACCCCCAAACTAACTTTCCGACAGTTTTCTGGCTGTTTTGTGTAAACATTAAAAACTCGTAAGCTGAAACTTGGCCATAGTATTGAAATCTTTAATTAACAATTTGGCAGCTTGCTTTCGCGCTTGGACTAAATTCCGGGAATCAACACAGTTTTTCATTAGACCCTGTATCCGTAAATCTGCGATGATTGCGTGCTCCATTTATAATTTGTTACGAGGATCTGCCAACGACTGTGCGTTTTTACCCGAGATAAATAAATCTTTTTGGCCACCGCGATGAACGGAGTTAATTCTAAAAAATTGGAAATTCGTATCCGTGGGGCTTTTCACATTCTTTTCGTGGTAAAGGAGCATGATATACTTTCATAAGGAGGTATGCTGGTATACTGTTAAGTTGAAGATCCAGATGTGTAGCAGCGTACTATCAAGTGACTTGAAACAAATTATTTCAATTCGACTGCGATGGAGATGTTGCATATGTGAAGAATTTGCGTTTTGACTATTGATTCTTATGTAAAAGTTTGCGAGAAACACGATGGTGCCACTGGTTTTCTCTAAAATCAACCCCCAAGCTCAAAAAAAGCTCTCAAGTTGAGGCCAAAATGGAGGGGATATCCCACGCTATCCTGAGAGTCCACCTCTACATCAGAACAAACTCTCGATGCGCAAAGATAGGGAGCAAATAAATTGACAGGGCTGCCACTTTATTTGGGAACTCTAAAACTGAAAACACGGCATCACTCCTAAAGTATTTGCTCCCTATCTTCGCATGGAGAGTTCGTCTTGATGTAGCCCTGGTAAAAATTGGCAGTAGAATCTGTGTTCCAAAATACCATAGACCTAAAGCCGGCTGTAAAATTTTCAATAGCTTCTATAGCCGGCTGCACAATTTCTTATAGCCTTTTATAGCCGATGGCGATTGAGCAACAGCCAGGCGATAAAGTGTATGCTACATGTTACTAATTACGGATGCTAGGACTTAGTGAGTTTTTGGACTACCGCTTTATTTTTGGGCCGTAGTATCTTGATTTATTTTGCGCGGAAAGCTCCGTACTTTTGAACGATGCCTGCCATTCCTAATATGTTGGAGCGCCTTCAATTTCGTATGATACAGTGCAATTACTCTGGTGTGAAATAGTTGCTTCAAGCGCCGTGGCAAGCTGCGGCGCGGCGGGCGGGCAGCCAGCGCGAAAAGCGCCTACAAACCTAACAGGGATACTTCACGCATTGCGCCATGCGTGAAGTATCCCAGTTAGGTTTGTAGGCGCTGGTGCGCGCTTATCGCTGGCAGCACGCCGCTCCGCTCTGTGTTATGCTCCAATATAATCTTGCGGAGTCAGCGTTTTTCAACTCATGATTTTGAAATGTTTGCACATCGTGTATGGATTATTCTTATTTTAATTGATGAAAAAAAATATGTATTAAAGGAAAATATAATGTGTGTTTTGTGAAAATTATGTTGGCTCCGTACCAAATTTAATAATTTTCAAAACACACGAATTTCTACACAATTTCTTATAGCCTTTTATAGCCGATGGCGATAAAGTGTAAAGCCCGGCGATAGGAACTATAGCCCAGCTGCATACTTTTTTATCGCTTCGTATAGCCCGGCTATATGATTTGCTCCGCTTTCTACAGCCAGCTATATGATTTTCTATTGCCTTCTTTAGCCGGCTATAAGAATTCCTATGGTATTTTGAAACGCAGCTCCTATCGCCAATTTTTACCAGGGGAGGTGGACTCTCAGGATAGCGTGGGATATCCCCTCCATTTTGGCCCCAACTTGAGAGCTTTTTTTGAGCTTGGGAGTTGATTTCAGAGAAAAACAGTGGCACCATCGTGTTTCTCGCGAACTTTTACACGAGAATCAACGTTCAAATCGCAAATTCCTCACACATGCAACATCTCAATTATGGCCGTCTACAGAGTAAAAGTAAATCCCCCCTCCATAAAATTGGCAAAGCTGATATTCGTGACATACAGAAGACATTTTTCTCACCATCAACCACATCTAATATTAAACATCAAACCATCCGTATGCTTAGTGCAAGAGTTTATGTTTCCGTGGTATATATTATAATTGTTACATTCTTTTTTCACGAGTTAAGGTAGTCTCATTTGGACGCATTAATGCAAAAAGGAAATATGTCTCACGCAAAACCTATGCACATAGTTCCTTTTAGCATAAATACGTCCATTTAAGGTAGTACTGCAGCACTTATAGAAGAACGATTTGACAGTCAAAAGATTAAATGATAATTTCTGAATTTTAGGAAATTTCTCAAGAATGTCTAAGCATCAGATCATGTAACAGTACGTCAGGAATTTGTATACAAAATTTAACGGAGATAGTCTTTGAAATAACTCCAAAAACATGCCCAAGGGAATACCGCAAAGTGAAAAGACAAAATGATTTGCAATCGGGCTTATTTATCCTATAAGGAACTATGTTGCACACAAATTATATGTACATATAGTTTCTTTTAGCATAAAAAGTCCAATTTTTACTGGAATTACTTTTATTGTACTTCACGGCGTTTCGTAGCGAATTTTTCCCCTCATCAACAAAAAAAAGAAAAAGAAAAAAAAGGGCATTTCTTGAAAATTTTGTTTTAATCAACAGCCTGACGTAAGAAAGCGTAATATCCCTGAAATTTTTGAGTCATGTCCTAAAATTCAGAAATAATCGATTGACCGATTGACAATCAAAGCGCCTTCCAAAGTAATGGCCATCCTCTTTAGTTATCAGCAATGATGCATGCATTTTTTATTTATATTTTAGTAAATGATAAGAATGAATAACTTACATCGACGTTGACGCCCTCAAAGGGAAATATCTTGGCCTTAGGCGTTTCTTGAGGCGAGAATCTAAAAAATTCATGGCTCCCGCGGTACCATTTCACCGAATACAAGGGCGCGCCCTCTAGGTCGTACAGACACAGCAGAGTTGCGTTCTCGCCTCTTCTGACTGCCTCTGGCAAAATTTCCAGGTGCACGCCCCGTAGCGCCCAAGCACCTGAAAGCAAAATTCAAAGATTAAAATTTGTCCGCACATTTATGTGTTCAAAAGAAAGATTAAAGAGTCAAATAGACAATACAAATTCAATGCAATACAATAAATGGATACTCATCTCCGCGGAACACCAGTTTTACTTCCATACATAAGAGTCGCTCTCGCAGCGCTCTCAGGCGCTCTGCGACGCCTAAACGCCACAAAACTCGGTCCTCCCACAGATCACCAGGGAGTTGGCACTCCCGCATCTCATCCATAACCCCCTGTCGCCAACCTTTCACCGGGCGTCCCCTTCGTCTCCTCTCAGGAGGAACCCAATCGCAATCATATTTTTTGGCAGCTTCTTTTCCGTCATCCTATTGACATGACCGTACCTGACAAGCTGTTCGGTTGTGACGTCGAACACGATGCCATTAAAACTTTCGCGAATGAAAAAAGAAGAGAAGGATACAGTTGTTGTGTTTTTGGCACACGCGACGTATGCCATACATGCATGTGATTAAGGAGATTTTGTGTGAAATATCTTCATAGTCCCACAAGTAAATGAATGTTATGCTTCGAACATGCCCAACTCAAACTGGGTAAAAAAGTCCGGTTCATTCCAGAGGAGAGGTTTTAAGTTCAAACGTATATCGACGGTGAAACTACCAAACCACGTATCTCGGTTTGCGACGTCGCAGACTTCCTGTCATACTTTCTTTTTTAAATGAAAAACTACTTAACGTCCAGTCTTGAAAATTTCTGTGATTTTTCCTCTTCGTGCGGAGAAAATTCTGTAAAAATTTCAAGGAATGATATTGATTTGGTCGACTTCAAAAAAATAAAATGTAAGCGTAGATTTTTAAACACCGCAAACGAGATACGTGGTTTGGTAGTTTCACCGTCGATATATTTTCTTTATCTAGAGATTTTTTTTTTCAAACCAATTTTTTTATTTTTTTACATTCAAGAGATGGTGTGGATTCTTTTCTTGTTTCGAAGAGTGTAGTGTCCAACTCCTAAGTTTAAACCCTTTCATATCGTGCTATTTCAGAATCAAGAAGTTTCATGTTTTTGGCCACGCCACTCTTTTTGAGAACTGAATATTGAGCCAAAGATATTTCCAATTTGTCAAATATTTCCGGCTTCCGTTTTTTTATTGTTCTACCCAGGGTTGGGCACTTCCTGAAACAAATTATTCAGGTATTCGTTTAGCAGACGTCTGTTCCAGGTATCATAAAATCTGAGGGCGAACTTCGTTCATGCAGTCGCAGAAAATTAATAAGTTTTGCACCGAATCAATTGACGGTGTGCGGAATGTCTGATGCATGATTGAAGGGGTCAGCGCTGTGTTTATTTTCAACAGAAAATGAGGGTATGCAAATAGCTCGCGGTAAAAATAGCCAAGATATTTTTCCCAGCTATATAATGATGGAGTGAATATTTGATGCTGCGGGAAGGCGAAGGGGGAGGATATAACAACACACAATGCGTTTGCCTGAAGCGATCTTTTACTTCCGTATCTTCTCCCTATTTAAAACCGCGCATTTTTTATATCGTTTCATTTTGCCTGCATGCATTTTTGGCTCCTTTATATTTTATGATTTTGCAATGAAAACTAATGTCTAAAGCAATTTTAGATGTATTTACGAAGAGAACGAGTCTAGTATATAATAATCAAAAACTTTATCTTAGATATTTGACACCTATTAAGAACAACTTATTTTGACTGTATAGACCAAATGTATGCGAATTTGACCAGAATCAGCCTCACTTTCAGACGGTGCCTGATTTTCATATTTTAATTGGAAACTAGGCAGCTTCCTGATTTGCACTTTTGTAAGTATATTTATCATGATCTAACTAAAATTCATAGAAACTTTCAAGAAGTTATGCTATTTGGTTTTCTATTAGTTAAAATAAAACTTGGGATGAAATTAGCTTGCATTACTAGTCCTTTGACACGATTCCTTTTTATTTTTTTCTTGTCTATAGTGCTTTTTTACTTTAGTTTTTTACGTCTCTAATACTTTCCTTTTGCTTTGCCTTCACTTACCTTACTTTTTGCATGCATTGGAAAATAAAAGCAGCTTGGATCTAGAGTCCATCAGACTCTTAAAAACATTGACAAGAAAAAATACTCTTTATTAAATCGGACTTTTTGCTTGAATCAAAAGGAAATCCGCCTAAATCGAGAGGCTCGGCTCTTCGATTCAACGAAAAATCTGATTGAAACAAGAGTATTTTTTCTTGTCGATATTATTAAGAGTCTGGACTCTGGATCCAAGCGACTTTTTTTTCTAGTGGTACTTTTAATTTTATAACAAGATGACACAAGGACAACAAGATAACAAGAGGAGGATATACAACGCTGTAGTCAAAAGTATATTAACATACGGATGTGAAGTTTGGCAGCTGAAGAAACGGACACAGGATATGCTATGAGCAACGGAGATGGATTTCTGGAGAAGGTCGGCAGGAATTTCTAGGAGAGATCGGGTCCGTAATGATAGAGTGCGTCAGATTATGGAAGTCGAAAATGACATCGTGTTCGACGTCATGACCAGACAACTTGTTTGGTATGGTCATGTCAATAGGATGACGGAAGAGAGGCTGCCAAAAAAGATGCTTGATTGGGTTCCTCCTGGGAGGAGACGTAGGGGACGCCCAGTGAGAGGTTGGCGACAGGGGGTGTTAAATGAAATAAGAGATTGTCAACTCCCTGATGACCTATGGGAAGATCGAGCTTTGTGGCGATTAGGCGTCGTAAAGCGCCAAAGAGCGATGTAAAAGCGACTCATATATATACAGGGTGTCTCACGAAAAACGAGCCACCTTGAATATCTGCCGAACGCGTCGGAATTTCGAAAAACGGTAAAAGACGTGTTCGTTTATATCGAGGGGGACACCTTTTGGCGTATCCGACATTTTCCCAAACCGCGGGAGGGGCGCGGGGCGGGGGTTGCCCCACCCGTAAGTCGAACTTTTCAAATGGCACCCCTACTTTTTTATTTCAGAAATCAATTCTACGCAAAAAAACAAGCCACCCTGTCCAAACCGAATCTAAATCGGACAATTTTTCAGTGATTGACAGAGTTTGAAACATTTTTTTCATGCTCTTTTCAAAAATTTCCCACGCCCAATGGAATTGCTGTATCAAACCAAACTCTCCGCCAAAAAAATTCTTAAACATGGCACTTTCGATAAAAAAATAAAAAAAATCTGCTGCACTCGAAATCTGGAGCACGCGGAGCCCTTCTTTGCGGCATTAAAATTCGTTATACCGAACATTTCCGAGGGGCGCTCATCGGGAGGGAGTAGTAAGTTTTAGACAAGAATTATTCATCTTTTTTCTGAAGCATAAGAAACCGTGTCCATGAAGAAGCAGTTAAGTACAAAAACAAATGGATTAGCTTTTTTTTGGGGGGGGAGGGGGGAGGGGTCAATGACTTGAGCCGGACCTTGATACTTCTGAGGACGCTATTTTTCCGCGGTGCGTTGTTTTTGTACTTAGCTGCTTCTTCATGGACACGGTTTCTTATGCTTCAGAAAAAAGATGAATAATTCTTGTCTAAAACTTACTACTCCCTCCCGATGAGCGCCCCTCGGAAATGTTCGGTATAACGAATTTTAATGCCGCAAAGAAGGGCTCCGCGTGCTCCAGATTTCGAGTGCAGCAGATTTTTTTTATTTTTTTATCGAAAGTGCCATGTTTAAGAATTTTTTTGGCGGAGAGTTTGGTTTGATACAGCAATTCCATTGGGCGTGGGAAATTTTTGAAAAGAGCATGAAAAAAATGTTTCAAACTCTGTCAATCACTGAAAAATTGTCCGATTTAGATTCGGTTTGGACAGGGTGGCTTGTTTTTTTGCGTAGAATTGATTTCTGAAATAAAAAAGTAGGGGTGCCATTTGAAAAGTTCGACTTACGGGTGGGGCAACCCCCGCCCCGCGCCCCTCCCGCGGTTTGGGAAAATGTCGGATACGCCAAAAGGTGTCCCCCTCGATATAAACGAACACGTCTTTTACCGTTTTTCGAAATTCCGACGCGTTCGGCAGATATTCAAGGTGGCTCGTTTTTCGTGAGACACCCTGTATATACTTTTAAATTTATTATTATCTGGTAATTTTGTAGAGACAGTAAAGGAGAAACCAAAAACATGCTTGGCCAAATGAATAAAAAATGTGAATCAGTAGCGCAATTTTTCCAATGAGCCACATTGGCGCCGCACCGGGTTGAATAATTTAATGGCGTCAACAATGATTTCACATTGAAAGCTCCCTCCTCCACTTGTCGCCCGTCGCACATCCCATCTCAAGAGTGTGAGGGAGGAAGGGAACGTCACCTATAATACCCCTGCTTCCCGCAGAAAGGAGACATTACGAATAAGCATTCCAAGGGCTCAAACACAATTCAGACGCTACGATGCCGGATTGTGGATCATTTATGTCTTCCTCACATCGAAACATGTAAAAATTCCCGATTCTCCGCCATGAAGCGACAGCGGTGTAAGAGGGTAAATTAAAGGGAAGATGAGAAAAGGAACCGAGTGGAAACTTTTTAAAGCACACGCGATTATTTAAAGTTGTCGAGAACTTTGCCCCGTAAATATATCTCGAGTGTCAACAAGTTTTGAATTTAAAAGTGCTCATTAACGGCGGAAAGGGAAAGGTTAGCTGTCTACGACTGCAAGATAAAAAGGTGAGGTTATTTTTCATTTATCCGGCCTATACCCTACCGCCTCTTTTCTCTTGCACCTTCACGGTACTTACTTCTCCACTTGGAGAGTTTCATTTTATATGGCACTTTGCACCATAAGTACAAAGACCAGGTGAATAGCATTACACATTTATAAATGCAGTTATTTGCGCGATAGAAGTCTCGCCGGAAATTCATACTTTTACACTTGGAAGATTGCTGTACTTGTAATAGAATTTTAAGCCATTGCACTGAGTACAGCTAAAGAAACTAATGGACTGGAACCATTCTTTGGGTGAATTTTGTACGGAAATAGGCATATTTTA